GGGCGACATGCATTCCTTCATGGAGTTAGACGCTGAATTTAAAAAGTGCTTTAATTGAAGTGTTTCATCTTACGGATGCTTTGGACTGAAGTTCTGCACCACGAAGCTGACGTTGTAATTAATGATCCACTAGGACAACACTATGTCGGCTCACACATCAGAAGAATCAGAACACAAAAACATGTCGTGAACCACAGAAACACGTGGACGTCTCTAGGAAGAAGCTGCCAGCGGTGCAGAAGCCCGCACCGAAACATTTAACTGAGTGGCACAGCGATATTCTTCTGAGCTGCGGGTTAAACGTTGAATCAAACTCTGCTTTTATGTTCTAATCTGGTGCACAAATGTGTCTTTTAGCTATGTGACAAAACACGTTTCTGTGAGATGACTCCGCTCAGGATTAGGTAACCTTTGACAAGCGCTACAATTTTTAACGGGAAGAAGACAGACAAGTTTTAGATGGCTGTGATCTGACTGAAAAGTGAGGTGTAAAATATCTCTGACAAAGTGGGGGGGAGGGTAGTGACATGACAGCGGGCGATCGGGGCCGAGCGTGTGATAAAAGGGGGTATTTTAGGCTGCAGAGATGGAGGAGTGGGCAGCTCCTCACAAGGCCACGCACAAACACAGGCGTAGCTGAGACTTTTGGCAAGCTAACAATGTGGGGATAAAAGGGGGGGATGAGAAGAGTTACGCTTTGTAGGACCAGACGATGGGCTCAGTTGGGCTTTTTGTCCACGCACATTTTCTTCAAGTTTTTCTAAATTTTAAAGGAATTTGCTTGTTTTTAATTAAACATTTTAAAAAATGCTTGCGATTCAGAGCTTGGCTGTCGTCTTGACTCGGCCTGTCAAATGATTTTCCATGATGGCATCATCAAATGAGGCACTGAGTAGTCATTTAATTTATTTGACTCAGCCCCCGACTACTGGGTGTGTATTTTTGGCAGCAGCACTGTTAATCATAGACCATTGGCTGCCATAGCTTGTTGCCTGATTTAAATGTGGGTCGTTTTTGTAATTTATTGGCAAACATTCTACGGTGGCCCTGAGGTGTAAATGAACGTTTGAAAAAACAGAATTACATTTGAAAAAACACAACAACATGTGAAAAAACGGAATTACATTAGAAAAAACGGTATCACATTAGAAAAAACTGAATCACATTAGAAAAAATGGAATCACATGAGAAACAACAGAATCGCATTAGAAAAAACAATCACATGAGAAACAACGTAATCACGTTAAAAAAACGGAATCACATTAGAAAAAACAATCACATGACAAACAACGTAATCACGTTAAAAAAACGGAATCTCATTAGAAAAAACGGAATCTCATTAGAAAAAACTGAATCACATTAGAAAAAATTGAATCACATTAGAAACAACGGAATCTCATTAGAAAAAATTTAATCACATTAGAAACAACGGAATCTCGTTAGAAAAAATTGAATCACATTAGAAACAATGGAATCACATTGGAAAAAAACGGAATCACATTAGAAAAAAACGGAATCACATTAGAAAAAAACGGAATCACATTAGAAAAATGGAATCACATTAGAAAAATGGAATCACATTAGAAAAAAATGAAATTATATAATTTTTGAATAATTCAGTTTTTTCAAATGTAATTCTGTTTTTTCAATTGTAATTCTTTTCAGATGTGATTCCGGCCACTTCAACTTTGGCCACTTCTGCTTTGGTGTAATGTAATTCCATTTTTTCAAATGTAATTACTTTTTTTTTTTTTCAAATGTTGTTGTATCCTGATGAATGCTCAATAATCCAAATGTTGTTGTGTTTTTGTTGTTTTTTCAAATGTAATTTTGTTTTTTCAAATGCTGTTCATTTACACCTCAGGGCCACTGTAGCGAACACTTAATTTGGTGTTGTGAGCATTTCGTCATCAGAGTTTAACAAGGCGTACTCTTATACAGGGTAAGATTTCCTGAAAATCACCCTCCTGTTGGAACCTCCCGAGTTTATAGGTCCGTTTTCTCCCCAAAATAGAGACTCAACCAGCACAGCAGTGGGGGGTGCAGGTGAGGGGCTCAATCAAGAAAAGTGCTTTTGGAAAGAAGCCAGAGGAAGTCATACTCTCCAAAGAGGAGGGACTGTTCACTGTGTGACTGCCTGCTGAGGAATGGCTGCAATGTGTCTTCAAAAGAATTGTAACGCTGTATGACCCTGAACGCAACGCTCTGCGTGACCCTCTGCGGGAAATCGGTGCTCTTGGCTTCCAGTTCAAAATATACACTCTGAGAGGGAGGCAGAGCATGTGGGTTGTGTTTCAATGTCTCTTAGGGCCGAGTGCACGCCGTGGTCAAGTCGTAGTAAAGCTGCGCCAAATGTTGAAAGTTTATTAATATTGAAATGTCGGGTTGTGCAATATTAATGTGGGCAGTCAAAAAGTCCTAAAGGGCCCACACCTAATTTAGAATGTAGTAACTGAGATGCATGTGTGTCATGATCACAGAAAGGAGAGAGAAGATTGAGGCATTTTTTTGTCGCTATGAGGCATGGGCCAGTATGAGATTCTGACAATATGATAAACTTGAACAAAAGTTTCATGGTAATAAAACAACTTAAAGACATATAGCCTATAATTACTTTAAAGTGGAAATACTATACAGTGCATATTGCTCAATATTGATTATACTTTAGGTTTAATAATGCTTAGTATAATAATATTTTCAGTTTACTTATAATTTTGATGTACAGAGCCTAAAAGGATGCCAGGGAGAGCACAAGTAAACATGTTATTCTGTTTAAAGTCAGTGTGAGCTTTTCCTGCACTCAGAACAGATTTTAAACCATCTTACGATCAACTTGTATTTATTTATAATGTTCAACATTAAAGGCTGATTTTATTTTTTTCAATTAGAAGCATTAAGATTAAATTTTAATTAATTTAAAATAGGTGTTCACCAAAACACCAGAGTCATCAGACCCTTTTTTAAATAAACAGACAAAAAAGTAGAAGACCAAAACAAAACTATAGGACCAGATACGTTTATTTATAGTTCTAAAACAAATGTGCTGAATATCACGACATCTGTGTTGTTCAACTTTGTAAAGTAATACGGGGAGCCCGAAAAACCAGCTAATTAATGTCAGTTGAATATTTCACCTGCAACATGCTAACACTTGTAGCTTGCTGCAAACATTAGTTTAAAACGGTCACACTAAAAAGAGAGAGATGGGTGTTGATCCTTGATTAGACAAGCCACGACTGACTATTACTCTGTTTTTCTTTACTATTACAGTACTATCTGGGACAAAATAAAGTACACAACTATCGTTTTTTTATATAGAGCATAAATATGTCGGGGAATTCTCCCTTTCGGTTACTACTGTCCATAACTGAATGACAGCTCGGAGCAGTACTCTGCACACTTCATGACCCAAAGGGAAATAAAAGTATGCACTGTTTTTGGTATTTCATTGAAAGGCATTTACACTGTAGGAACAATATGATGAAACATTTAGTGGTTTTGATACTGACCTTTTCACATGCCTGGAAACTGGAAACTGACCAAGTTCAAGTAGGTTTTATTGTCATTTCACCACATGTGGTACATGAGGTGGAGCAAAATTGCGTACACAGGGTCCCAGTTACATCCAACAATAGCAAAAATATATAGTGTAAAAAGAAACAGTAAATAAGGATCTAAGATATAAAATAAGATACGCCAAAAGATCTAAGATATATGCTGAACACTAATAGTACAAAACAATACTTCGAACAACAACAGCACGAACATGAATCTGTGTGAGTAGATGAGTACGAATGAATACAGCAGCATGAAATAATCAGCAGCATGAAATAATCAGCAGCATATATCACCACTCGAAGTGACATTACAGTGATTTGTTTTTTCACAGTGATAATCCTGGTTAGGGATTTATGAGTGTGACAGCTTCAGGGTAGAAGCTGTTCCTCAGTCTAGTGCAGGGGTGTCAAACTCACTTACAAAAGGGGCCCAAAATTAAAACATTTTTCAAACTAAGGGCCGGTTTCAGAATCTACATTAACTCAAGTTAGATACCAACATCTTTTCTTGGTTGCAGGTTCCTCAACAAGAGTTTGATTCGTCTCATTTGATGTTCTCTGTTGTACTTTTGACATCATAATCAAAGATTACTGAAAAATTTAAAATGGTAAAAGTATTTTACATTTAAAATAACATCTTGGGGGCCAGATAAGACGTCAACGAGGGCCACATTTGGCCCCTGGGCCTTGAGTTTGACATATATGGTCTAGTAGTTCTACACTTAATGCTCCTCAACCTCCTGCCCTAGAGGAGCAGGGCAAAAAGTGTGTGTGCTGGGTGAGTGTGGTCCTTCATGATGCAGGTGGCTCACTTCCTGCATCTGGAGGTGTAAATGTCTGTGACGGTGTGGGGGGGGGTGTGTGACTCCAACAGACTTCTGTGCAGCCTTCACCACTCTCTGCAAAGCTTTTCTTTCTGCAGCTGTGCAGCCTCCATGCCACACACTGCTGGAGCACAGGATGCTCTCCACTGCACATTTGTAGGAGGTGAGGACTGAGCTTCCCAGACCAGCTCGTCTCAGCCGCCTGAGTGCATTAATACAATTTCTATTTTCATTGCAACATTCAACAATAATATTTCAAGTGTTTTTCATGTTCTGCAGTCCCATCTACATTTGCATCCATTTGTGTTTGGACAGGAAAATATCTGTCAGGGGCTTGAAAAATAAATAATTCATGCATTTAGATTCCTTATTGTTTCGAGGTGAAACACAATAAATGTGGTTCTGTTCAGCCCATATAGGTCAGTCGATTATTCATATTTATATTGTGCAATCAGGCTTATGTACTTGTTACAAAAGTCTCAGTTGTCTTTTTGCACAAACGTTAAATCTTTTGTTAAAAATCAGGGAAAAGTGTGTAGCATTAAGAGTAATTTACAGTTTTTGTGTGTGTGTGTGTCTTGTTGGGTCAGTAAGTGGGATTATGTAATCTGTGTTGCAGTGTGTCTGGGTACAGACATGAAACTAGCGCTACCCTCCAGCCTGGAAAATCACTACGAGATCCTGAGGCTACTCTACACCGGCTGCCAGGTCGTCCATGGCAACCTGGAGATTACACACCTTCACGGAAACGCTGACCTCTCCTTCTTTCAGGTACAACTTGAGGGAATGTCCTCACACAGTACAACCATCTACATATTCTAAAACATGGAAATAAATAGGGCTTTCTGTTTGTTAGCTTGGTTTTATGTCAGTCCTTTTGTTTCTTACTCTTTATTTTTGTCTTTACTCCTTCCTCACCAGGGGATCAGAGAGGTGCAGGGTTATGTACTCGTTGCAAATGTCTCAGTGAGCTTGGTGCCTCTGGACAACCTTCGGATCATAAGAGGCAGCCAGTTGTACAATTCCAGCTATGCCCTGGCTGTGCTGGATAACACTCTGGCCAATCAGGGCCTGAGGACCCTCCGGCTCCGTAGCCTCACAGGTCAGTTAAAAGATTAGCAGAGTTCTTCTGCTTGCATGACTCGTTTTGCCTCTTCTCTATCTGCTGCCAGCTATGTTCCTACTCACTGCAAGAATTTGAAAAGCGAAGTTTGCATTTCTTGTTTTGTGTCTTTCCTGCAGAGATCCTGTTGGGTAGCGTGTATATTTGGGGGAACCCCCAGCTGTGCTTCCCAGACCCCCAGCGCATCAATTGGAGTGACACTTTGGACGAGCAGGACACCAAGTCCAAACCGCCCCGGCTGCAGTTTCGGGCCCCTAATTGTACGTAACTAATTTGTAATGTAAACGACAAGCCGTGAGGCACAGATAAAGAAATCTCAGACAGTTAGAGACAGTTAGCGCTGCACCATGTGACTTCAACTCATAAATGTGGAAAACCCCAGGGGGGAGCCTGGAAGTGCTTTAAGGCATATCAAACAATATGCAACTTTTAATTGATTAAAATTTCTGCCACCTTGTGATATATTATTAGCTCTCTTTAATACATCTTTAAACTCATTTCTTTGGGTTTGACACGATTGGTCACTTTCATAGACTCCAGTCCAGCCAGTCACATTCCTGAATAAACTTTGTGTGAGTCTGACTAAAAGTGTTGACATTTATAGCAGGAGTTCACATCAGAATTATGTTTTAGCTCTTTTAAACAAAACCAACCATTTATTTATTCTAAATATAAATTTAGTTTCTGATCAAGTAGAAGACAAATAATGGAAGTAAAAACTGTTATAATCAAGTTTTTGAACCTTGTCTGGTTTTTATAACAGCATAAATACAATTACATTTTTTGACGCATCACAAATGGAAAAACCCAAAGCTCTTCCTCAGCTAAATCTTCCTCCTCAAATCTTTTTTATTTATTTTCTCTCGATCAGTTTGAGTCAGACTAAAAGCTCCAGACAGCTTGTGCCTAATTTCCTGAAATAAAAGTTGTAACTCTTTTTAGCTTCTTGTGGAAAGATGCATTATCTTACGTAAAAAACAAACAACAACAAAAAAAAAACTTCAAATCCAGATCTACTTTCAATTGATTTAAAATACAATCCACAGTTTCAGGATACATCATGTATTTTCCAAAGAAGTAATGATCACCACCTCTCCTGGTTGTGTACCTGACATGCAACCCTGCATCATTAATGTCTGCTGGGAAATGAAGTTATTTTGTTCAGGAATCATGGGAAATACAAATTCATATTTAAAAACTTACTTTCTCAGTTATCCACAGTGCATGCTTCTCTTGACAACTATAACTCTTTTAGGTATTAAAGACAACATACATAAGTAATTCCTTTGTTTTTTAACTCCTCACCTTTAAATGACTTCTTACTGTTAGATCACAGCAGTTACTCTGTTTTTCTGCCTTGTTTTTAAATTTTTTAAGGCAAATTTCTTTGAATTTAATCTTATTCTAGCTGTGTGTTTTGTATGTACAGTGCAATCAGAGTTATTCAACCCTCTCAGCCTTGAGAGATATTTTAGTAGTGTGGATGACAATAAATGACAAATTCAATTTGGTTTATTTATATAGCACCAAGTCACAATATAAATCATCTCGGGGTACTTTACAAAAACATAAAAAATCAAGTAGTAAAAGTAGGGATGCACAATATTATTGATGCACAGTATTATCGGCATGGTATCGGTATTGGATGATATTGCAGTTAAAGTTAAATATCGGACATCGGCCATTCCATCAAAATAACTCACCTAGTTAAAAGGTGCTGTTTATATATATATGACTCTGTTTTTGTATGACAACCCATTGACAAAATTTGACATACATAATCCAAGTTGAAATGTTGCATCATTTTCAGTCCCCTTTTTGGCATCTGCATTTAGTAGCAGGACAAATTGACAAAGACAAAGACCATGCTGAATAATGTAGTATAGTAATTCCACAGCAGAGAAAGCTATGTAGTCTCTAAGTAGGTCTAGGAAAAAAAAAAATTGGTATTTGTATCCGTTATCGGCCAAATAAGTTTTAACATATCGGATATCGGCCAAAAATCCAATATCATGCATCTCTAAGAAAAAGTTCTCTATCTAAGGAAGCCAGCAGATTACGCTGAATCTTCATTTCGTCCCAGTCTCCCATCCTGAGCAAGCACAAAGGCAACAGTGGAACACCTAAAAAGAACATCTCATTGAGCAACAAAATACATATTTGAACCAATGTGACAACAAAAGTTGACCTTTGAAGTCCAAATGAAAAATGTAACTCAACATATGCGAGTGTGCAGTACTATTCATCTCCCTTTAGTATTTTGTGGAGCATCCTTTAGCTTTTATAACTGCCAACAAAACGTTTCGATATGTGCTGACAAGCTTCCTACACCTCTCGCCTGGAATTTGTTCCCATTCTTCACGCGCAAAAGCTTCAAGCTGAGTGATGTTTGATGGCTTTCTTGCTGCAACTGCCTTCTTTAAATCCCACCAAAGATTTTCATTTGGATTTAAATCTGGTGATGAGAAGGCCAGGCCATTCCAGGATCTTTTTATCAAGCAAGCTTTGGTTGACTTGGAGGGGTTCTTGGCATTGCTGCCTTGCTGGAAAGTCCAGTGATCCTCAAAGTTTAAGTTGTTGACAGAAGGCGTCACATTCTTCTTCAAAATGGCCTGATATTTCTGGGAATCTGTGATTCCAGGTACATGATCAAGATTGCCATTTCCTGCCGCAAAAAAGCTGCACCACATCATCAATGATCTATACTTGGCTGTAGGGATTGTATTCCTCCGATCGTAAGCATGGCTTGATGGTCCTTGTCAAAAGTGGAGTTTGAGCATGAAGACCTTCTTTATGCAGTGCACGCCTTATGTTGCCATTGAAGCACTAGTACTAGCCTTCATATCATCCTCTAGGTGTCTTGCAGTCACAAGAGTCTTTCTTAGCTGTCCTGACTAAATTGATCATAGGTCTGGATGGAATTTTGGGCTTTCTTCCATGGTCATCAGGTTTGCAACTGTTCCACAAGTTTTAAATGTTCTTATAATGTTCCCATTGGGTTCTTTTGGAATGTTAAATCTTTTTTTGTACCCAAAGTCCTTCAGGTGTAATGAAATTATCTCCTCTCAGTTTTTCTGAATGCACCTTTGTCTTTCCCATCATTGCAACTCACCCAGAGCTGAAGCAAATGAAGGCTCATTATCTACTTTCCAGTGGCTTCATTATGATTCAACTCAACGTTAGGCCAGATAAACTGTCAAACAGCTTTAGAAATAACATTATGTAGGGATTGAATATTTGTGACATGGCAGGCTTAGCAACATATGGTGTTACACACAAATACTACATCATACATTTTCATTGTTGCTTTTATGGATCAATAAACTCATGAGGAATTCATCCAAAGAAGAATCTTGCTCTTCGAAGAAACTTTAATTGCTAAACTTTTGAGGGGGGTTGCATATGTATTTCACTCTAAGCCGACCGGCACAGCTAACATCGTCGGCCTCACTCTGTGAATATTTTTTGTTGTAAGAGATCCTGTCATCGTTTTCATGTTTCAGCTGACAGCTCTCGTTTAAGGACCATATTTCCTGTCAATCAGGCCGGTGCAAGAGCTGGTTAAATTCTGCATATGCCCCTTTTTTTTTTTTTTTAATTAGGAACATTTGCATAGTTGGACATGTTCTTACTTGCAGGGACATTCTTTTATTCCTCTTCTAAGATTAAAAATGATAATCCGATAATTGTTTTCTTTATAAAACTTACCCAGACAAATAAATAAATACTGAGTATTCAACTGTAAATTAACCATAGATTTTTTTTTAATTCTTACCAGAGGTTGTAAAGTTCAACGGTCAGACAAGTAGTTCTGATGAAGCATAGCTGTGGCCTGAGGACAATGAATCAGCCAGCATGACTGTAGACATCTGAGTCGGGCCTTTTTATTTATTTTATCTCTGGTTAACTGTGTGCTCAGATTTCATTTGCTGCCTTTGCTTCTTTTCCTTTCTGGCACAGGCCCAAGTTGTTCTTCTGCATGTGAAGAAAGGTGCTGGGGAGAAACTGCGCAGGACTGCCAGACATGTGAGTTTGAATCACAGAATAGTTTGATTCTTAAAAGGAAAAGTCTGGGTTTCTTAAACTGTTGGCCTTTTGTGTTCTTTGTTTGAAGTAACTCGCATTAACTGTGCGAGTGGTTGCCAGCGTTGTAAAGGTCCTTCTCCTAATGACTGCTGTCACAGACAGTGTGCTGCAGGCTGCACCGGACCCAAGGACACAGACTGCCTGGTAAGTGTTTCACACACTTTTATCCACACAGTAATCTTCTGATGTTGTCAGATAGTTCTTGTTTATCACAACTGAATGTTTCCTCCTTCCTTTTTCTTGTCAGGCATGTCGTCACGTCAACGAAGACGGTGTGTGTAAGGAAAACTGCCCTTCAGCCATCACCTACGACCAACAAGCCTATCAGAACAAACCCAACCCCAAGAAGAAGTTAAACTTTGGAGCCACCTGCATCGAGAAGTGCCCCTGTAAGAACTTGATAAATCAACAGGAAATTCATCTGAAACCGATCGGCTAAGGTTGAGTTTTCCAGCTGACAGCCCTTTGAACTCTGTCTCCCTCTCTGTAGATAACTATCTGGTCATGGAAGTGGCTTGCACTTTGAATTGCCCCCTAGACAATCGGGAAAAAATCATCATTGAGCCTGACGGCAACGAGACGCAGAAATGTGAAAAGTGTGAAAAAGACTGCTCCGAAGGTGAGGTGTCACACATTTGAACACTGTTTACAAACACTTAAGTGTTTACTGTGTGAATGTTTATGGAGGATTCACTTTAGTGTGATCCATTTTTCTTCCATACGTTTTTCTTGCATTGCTCTCGTGCCACAATTTTTGTGCTATTTCAACAAGTCATATATCAAAACCTTCGGCTACTTCAGGACAATCCTGCTATGACTTTTGGTATTGGTACAGCTTTAGCTTTTTGAAATATTTAGCCTTTTCTGCGACTTTGTTCCTGATAGAAACTTAATTGAGCTCATTTTACATCCTTCAAATCTTTACATCTGTTTACAACCTTTTACTGCTCCTTTCACGTTTTGTTCTGCTTCAGCTTCTTTCAGCTTCCTTGTGCAAATTTAAACTTTTTTTCAGCTACTTTCAGCTACTTCCCACTTTTTATGTACTACTGCTTCTTTCAGCATAATTGGGCAAACATGTTCTTTCTGTTTTCTTCTAATTTAAGGTTGTTCCAACTTTTCATCTAGTTTTTTAGCATTTTTAGATAATTTCAAAGTGTCTTTACTTGTTGTTCCACCGCATGTGGTACATGTGGTGGAATGAAATTGTGTACTCAAGGTCCCAGTTACATCCAACAAAAGTATAAATTGTAATGAAAAACAGTAATAAGATCTAAAATATGAACTAAGAAATGTGCTAAACTAAGAATACACTAAGCACTAATAGTACAAAAACAATACACCGAACAACAGCAGCACGAACATGAGTCTGTGTGAGCAGACGAGTATCAATGAATTAATTTATAATATAATAATTTATAATAATTTTAGTTGTTTTAATATAAATTCAAGTTTTCCATGGTAATTTTTGCTACTTTCCGCCTAATTGATTATTTTATTAGCCTTTTCAGCTAATTCCACTTTTTATTTATTTATTTATTTTTTAGCTCATTTCAGTTCTTTCCGCGTCCTTCTGGTAGTTTAAGCTTCTTTTTGCCATTTCAGCTACTTTTCAGATTTTTTTTTGCTAATTTCAGCCATTCTTATGCTCATTTCTGCTTATTTAAACCTAATTCAGTAAATATGTGTTCTTTTTGCTTTCTTCTGCCATTTCAGCTAAATTTCAGAATGTTTTTAGCTAATTTCAGCTGTTTTTCATCAAGTTCTTCTGCGATAAGCATTCACACTGCATGTTCGCAGGAAATGCAGTTTGTCTAGTTCAGTTTATCTTTATATCTGGCCATGGAAGGTCACTGATGCAAACGTCTAATCATACTACCGTAGATCGTTACATAAAATTGAGGTCAGTGGACATGCTGGTTAGGTGAAATTGATGGCAATGTAAAGGTTTATAAAACAGGATGTATGAATAGCAATGAAAAATATTACGGCATGCATAGCCACATCCATCATGACGGCCACAATGCACGAACATTGCATTGTGCATATGGCAGAATCAGAAAAAAGCCTTGTCCACCACAAGACATCACTTTTGGCTCAGTTATTGGCATCAGCTGACGTCTCGAGCAAAGCTTTTTATCAAACGTCTTAAATCATGTTTTTTTTTTGTATTTTATTCTAAAGGTGATAATCATTGCAAAAACTCAAATTTAAATATTTTGTTAGTTTAGTTTAGTGGTTTAGATTTAAGATAAATTGATTAAAACACAACTTTTGTCTTTTGCAGCGTGTTATGGTCTGGGTATGGACAGCTTAGGCGTTGTGGGCAATCAGAACGTCACCATGGTAACGTCGGCCAACGTGGAGCAGTTCACAAAGTGCTCGAAGATTTTCGGAAGTCTTGCTTTTCGTCCACAGAGCTTTGCAAGGTAATGAAAGGCATAACCCACATTTTGGTGTAAAAGTCAAACTTCAATGGACTCAATTTAACATGAGCAACAATAAGAAGCAGCCGATTGTGTTTCAGATACTTGAGTTCACGCAACATTTGGACCCGTTGTGAGTTAATCAAAAAGGTGCCACCTAGGCTAAATCATGTATAGGAATGCAAATATGCTTTAAACTCAGACTTTATCCACTTCTGAGGTGTTTTTATCTTTATAAATTCTTTGCATCAACAGAAGACACCTTTACTTATTCGTGTTCTTACATAGATGTCACTGTTATTTAAATTAAATTTAACCAAAAAGATCAAAACAAATGTTAATGCATATTTCCGTTGCATTGAAAAGTGTTTTCTGTGGACTTTTTTAGGACAAATGTTGCTGTGACTTCAAAAGTTGTGACTATTATCTATATCTTGTACAGTCAAAAGTGTTTGTTTCAAATCAGTTTGGTTTTTTGACTTGTGGACAAACCTGCATTACTAAAGATGTTATCAGTAAATAAAAGTTAGATTATGATAATCGTGTAGAGGTGAAAGAAAGTTCACTTGAATCGCCACGTTTTGTTTATTTGTACAAACACAGCTTATTCAGATAAATTTACAAACTCGATTTAAGAAAATTATCAGTTATTTTATAAAGCAGCCATCATTCTGAGCAAACATTAAACAATGAGTGTTTGAATCAGTTCAGGGACCACATGAGGATTTTCTTTACACATTTAATAAATCAAATTACCTCTTGGGGCATTTAATTCTCTCAGGGACCCTGTGACCAACACCTCTGGCCTGACTTTGGAGCAGCTGAGCGCCTTCAGGAATCTGGAGGAAATCACAGGTACCAAGTTGAAGCTTTTACCCAAAAATTATATTTCATATAAACTGCATAATTTAATCCCATTTTTATTTAAAACCACAGAGAAGTCTAATTAATCTTGCCTGATTTTTGTGTCAGGGTATTTGTACATCGATGCGTGGCCAGAGGAGTTGACCAACCTGTCTGTGTTTGAGAACCTGAAGGTGATCAGAGGCAGGATGCGCTACATGTAAGTCCTTTAAACTGCTTTCTCTGCACGTCAACCCTCCGTTAAAGTAGAATGCACCCACACTGAACTGTTCTGTGTTCACCATCAGCTTAAATGTCGTTAAACCCAGGAACAAGCTGAAAACATTTTTTTTTCTTAAAAAGGTACAAATAATTCAATATGTACTCAGCTGTTGGACATAAACAGTTGAATTTATTCCAAATATGGGATTCTTTTCTGTCTTGTGCGTCACTGCATGCCTCAGTGTTGATGTCCGTCTGCTCACACTGTGTCTTTGTTTGCACTTGTTTTTTCTCCTCTGTTGCACCAGTCTGGTCTCTTTCGTGGTAATAAATGCTAATTATTAGCCAGCTCGTTGCTCCGACGTACAGCTCGTGCCAGTTAGAGTCTCTGACATGCACTTTAGTGCTGCATCCACAAATTGTTGCTATTGGACACAGTTTTAAAATGAAATCTAACGTGGCTGATGGTTTAAAAAATGCATTTTTTTAGTTTTTCTTTCATGTTTTAAAGCTTAATTTTATTCTTGACATTTTCTTTTTTGCAACATTTCTGGTGACACACCACCTCCTTTTATCTGTTTAGGGGGGTGTTTTCTCTCGCCATCCAGAATCTACGCATCCAGTCTCTTGGGCTCCGCTCACTTCGCAGAGTCAGTGGAAGTTTGGTCTTGTTGTACAACAACTCTCAGTTATGCTACACCAATCCTCAGTCCTGGAAAACTCTTTTCCACCCCACCCAGGGGCCACATCTCATCATTAACCACAACAAAGACCCCCAAATCTGTGGTAGGTGAATAAATGCAATGCACATCAACGTATCTTCATACAAACTGCAGATGTAAACTAGAGAAATTGCATTTCCTGTTGAAATGAATGCTTATTGCTAAAGAACTTGCTGAAAAACAGCTAAAATTAAAAATATGCTTAATTTTAGCTGAAAAGGAAGAACAAGCCTAACTTGGCAGAAGAAAGTAGAAGGAACACATATTTGCTGAATTAGGGTTAAATAAGCAGAAATGAGCACAGAAATGATGAAATTAGCAAAAATAGCTGAAAAAGGAGAAATAAGTTTAAACTACCAGAAGGAAGTTGAAAGAGCTGAAATTAGCTTAAAAAAAATGTGGACTTAGCTGAAAAGGCTAAAAAAAAAAGCATAAGCAACTAAATAGTAGCTGAAATAACTGAAACTAGCATTAAAAAGCTGAAAGGAGCATAACAAGCTGAAATTAGAAAGAAGTTAGTTAATTAGGCTGGAAGTAGCAGAACTTACCACAAAAAAACTTGAATTTATCTGAAAACTGTTGAAATTAGCTAAAAATGCTAAGAAGGTAGCTGAGAAGGTAGAACAAGCTTAAATTAACAGAAGAAAGCAGAAAGAACATGTCTGCCCATTTAGGCTGAAAGAAGCAGAAATGAGCACAAAAAAGTAGAAATTATTTGAAAAAAGCTGAAATTAGCAACAACAAAAAAAAAAACATCTGAAAAGTAGCTAAAAAACAGAAAGAAGCTTAAACTAGAAGAAGGAAGTGGATAAAGCATGTTTTTGCTGAATTAGGCTGAAAAAAGTTTAAATCGGTGCAAAAAAATGTGGAATTAGCTGACAAAGCTGAAATTAACATAAAACTGCTAAATATTAGCTGAAATAGCAGAAAAAGCTGAAACTTGCATAAATAACCTGAAAGGAGCAGAAAGAAGTTAGAAGATGCACAAAAATGTTGTAATTAGCAGAAAAAATCTGAAAGGATCATAAAACGGCTGAAAAACAGCTGAAAGTAGCCAAATTTTTTTAAATTTGCACAAGGAAGCTGAAAGAAGCTGAACCAGAACAAAATGTGAAAGGAGCAGTAAAAGGTTGTAAACACTAATGATTTGAAGGATGTAAAATGAGCTCAATTCATTTCCTATGAGAACAAAAATGGCAGAAAAGGCTAAATATTTCAAAAAGCTAAAGTTGCACCAATAACAAAAGTCATAGCACCCTTCTCCTGAACGAGCTGAAGGATTTGATATATGCCCCAACCCCCCCAACAATTTTCAGTCATGTCATCTGGACAGTTTCTTTTTTTTTGCTGAAACGTTTCACCTTCCATCCAGAAGGCTTCATCAGTCAAGGAAACACATAAAACAAAACTGATTCTTCCCCCAAACAGCTTACTCCAAAGTGAAACAAACCAGTTATGTTGGTGCTGTTTGTACCGGCAGTTTTCGAGTGGGGGGAGAGAGATGGGGGTGGGAGTTCAGAGTAGAGATGCATTCCAAAAAATCCGATCCGACCCAGCCCCAGCCCGTAGCCATCATTTCCAAACCCCACCCGATCCGACAAATTAACAGTAATTACTGGTCCGAGCCCAACACCCCCCAACATTTTTAATTAAGCTTTGACTGCTATATATTAACGGTCGGTGGATACGAGCGGCTGAATAAAAGGGGCAGAAGATCGGAGCTGAGGGGGTGTTTGTCCTTTCATGGCCGTCAAAGCGCATTAAATTCCTCTCTGACACACGTCAGCTTTGGGATCTCACCTGTTTGGGTCGTCAGCCGTGCGTGTCCACTGAGTGCAGCAGCTGAATGAACGTGCATTTGGGCGATGGATCACTTCCTGACAGTATAGTTTCATATGAAGCTTAACTGAACTTTATTTTACCTCTTTCAAGAACGGTCGGCTCGCGATGAAATGACCATGTGTGGCTGGTGAACTTATGGCAAGCCATGCTACCATATAATTGGAAAGTATAGCAAGCCGTGTTGCCATTCAATTGGAAAGTATAGCAAGCCATGTTGCCATATAATTGGAAAGTATAACAAGCCATGTTGCCATATAATTGGAAAGTATAGCAAACCATGTTGCCATAAAATTGGAAAGTATAGCAAGCCATGTTGCCATATAATTGGAAAGTATA